GGTTACCTCGGTGTTCGATGCAATCTAAATCCTCAACATTTGAAATCGCTGTGAAGGGTTGCCCCTATTACCTCCCCCGGACCTTCTGCTTTCTGTGCATTGTCATGGTGTTGCGTCCACACAGGGTTGTCGTTACTGGTGTTTACTACCTCAGACTATGATTTCGCATTTACTGCGATCACTGAATTTGTTCTGAGGCAAGCTCCTCCCTAGCATGTCTGTTTTTCAACGATTCACCGAAATGATATCAGAGATGTGGTCACTAGAAGACTCAAGAAACTACATCTCTAACCCTCGTTTAGAGCTGCACACCTCGAGCCGGTAGCCATCACAGCTCCAAATGCGGACGCGTAATGATTTATGTCACCCTTCAGCTATAAGGATATACAAGGAGGATGCGGTGGAGGAATGCGTAAAGACGTGGAACCTCTGCATGGATGAGGATGAACGAGTTTTGAGGGCACTCTCCTTGGGATGCGATGTAGCTGCGGGCATAGTAGAGGGTGGTTTCACGGTTTGGACGGGGACGCGCCTCTTGCTCAATTTCCTCGTCGACAGGACCGTTGACTTTGCTGGCAGGCACGTCCTTGACCTTGGCTGCGGGGCCGGAATTCTGGGCATCCACGCCCTCCTTCACCACGCCGCATCCGTGACTTTCCAGGTTGGCCCCTCAGTGTTGCATTTGCTCCGTTATCTCCGCCAGAAAACTGCTCTAATTGCATCTAAATAGGACTTCAATTATTGCGTGATGAGGGCGTGGACGGTTCCGAACGTAAAGTTACAGTCAGCAGTTGAAAAGCAGAAAGCTGACTTTTGGACAGGTGATTGGGAGGATCTAGCGGATGCCTGGCGTACACAGGGCAAACAATTCGACGTGATCCTTACAGCGGAGACTATCTACCGCAGCGACTTGTATTCAAAACTGCTAACAGCGCTGGAAGCCGTCTCCGCTCCCGACTGTCGTATCTATCTGGTGGCAAAACTCGCCTACCACGGTAATGACGGGAGCCTGAAGGGCTTCTATGATTTTATCCACCGCACACACGTGTTCAACTGCATTGAAGTACAACTTGAGAGTGAGAATACCTGCTACGGCTGCTTGATAATGTCCAAGTTTGGAAACAAAGGGCAGTAGTTTTTGGGTTTTCTTTTTGGCTTTAATTGTGCATCCCGGATGCAGTCTACTTAATGCTGTTCAGAGATGAGCCTGGCCCCCATTTGCCTCCAGTGAGCCTCAATAACTGTTGGGACAGCAGAGCTTGTATTAAAGTGCTGGTTTATAAAACAGAGATGTCAGAGAATTTAGAGGAATCAGAATGTGAAGTCAGCGATAGATACTCCTCGATCCTCATCCGTTTCAATGCCGACGTCATCCTAAAATCACGATTAAAGGGGCCATCCTGGTAGTTTGTACGCAAGACTATGCAGGACGGGTACGCACCATGAGTTCTTTTCGACTCTTAGGATAACCCTCGGCAACGGCATCAACGATATCCATGGCCTAAATGGTAAAAACAGTAGCCAGGACCAAGTTGTTCATGGAACTTAACATCGCTGACACTTCGTAATACCATGCGTTTCCTTTTACGCCATTCTGCGACAGCGAATCTCTGCCTTGCTTCCGCCTGTTAGAAGGAGAGAAAAGGCGCCCAGGATTCGTTCAAGATCCTAATTCATGCTAGCGCCACTAATGAGGCCGACTAAACTCAAAAGTTAAGCCACCAAAGCGGGCGAGTTGAAGTCGATGGATTATCAAGGTATTAGATTTGTAAAAGACGTCCGAGTGTAGAAAGGAATCCACTAACTTGAGAAAATTCTTCCGGGGGAACCGGTGGTTCTGAGCCGTATTCGGAAATAAGCTTCTTTATCTCGCCTATCTAGGACTATAAGTTCCTCAAAGAATTGGATGTACCTTAATCTCCAAGACAGCATTCTGATCACGTGCCTCCTGAAGGGACAAGCTGGACTGCACTGACTTCAATTCTGAAGTTCAGAAAAGAAGCGCTAGGGGAACATGACTGGTGAACTTGAACTATTACTAATAGAGTGACAACTGAGATACCCGACTCAACTACTCTAACTCGATCTCTAAGCTGTTGGAGATTTGTTGTGAGCTCATTAATTTTATCGTCCATAGCCTTCAGCTCAGAGCTGTCAGGGCGAGGCAGTTTTTCCTAGGAAAAAAAAAGAGTAGCAACAACGATACTGACTTCACAATCGTGATAAGGGAAAGCTGCGGCTCTAACTTGTGACACAACAAAAACTTTTTGCTTTCCGTAAACCTTTTCAACAAGGGAGGCATCCAGGACTAATTCATCGACTGCCTTAGAAATAACCTTGATTTGAGGAAAAAGTAAAAAAAACAACCAGATACAAACCGTCTTCCCATGTGCCTTTTGCAATGCAGTAACAATGTCATTAACACTGAAGGGACGATTTTCACGGGTCATGTAGGCCAGCACATCGGCTATGAGAAGCAGGATGGATAGTAGAGTGATCATACCTTTCGGATTCTTCGACATTTCTAAAGAAATATGGCTTGACTAAGCAGCGTTAATGATTACGAAGATAATGAGATAAAAGTAGTAGCTGTTCAAATGTTTGAAAATAAAAGTTCACAAGTATTTATTAATAAATATACATAGAGCCAAAGGGCACCAGTGAACAAAAGCAGGAGGTATTTTGAAAGGCATAAACTGGCGAATACTAACTAAATTATACAACTTAGACAAATAAGTACAAAAGAATCACAAAACAATTTCTACGTACGACGGGTTGGTGATATTATGCCCTAACGTGTCTTAGTCAGCTAAATTTCCATACATCAATCCCGTAATATCATGAAACTGCAAAATTCTATAGAACCCGCAGAGACTCCAAGCAAATACAAATTTATACCTAAATTCATCAAGAAAATCAGAATACGGTAACCAAACACCAGTCACAAAACGCCTTGGATCTTAACTGCCTGTCGTACACTGCCGGCTTCCAGACCAGCTTTGAGTCCTCGAAGTATTAAAACAACATTTGAATGTTAAAAATAATAATAGCTGTAAGTGCTTGGGTTCTTAGAATTGTTCCCCTTAATTTTTATAATTTGGCAAGTGTGCGAGCCGTTGTATGTACGCTTAATATAGCAGGAGGAGGACGAATCATGTGTGGTATCGAACGTTCGCATCTGCAGAAAATATGGCCTCACTTCTGTACTTACAGTGCTCAGCATCGTGGCTGAAGCCTTCTGCGGTTGCAAATGCAATAGTTTGCCCATGTAATCACCTGATGTCTGGCGGTTCCTTTAAGTTTCGTCTGGATCTTGTACGCTTGGACTGGCATTTGGGTCATGCTCAGGCCTAGTTACTTTGTCCGCCTTAGAATGCATGTATTAAGTTCCACGCACTGTAGTGTCCCGAGGCTTCCCATAGGGTAGAAGAAGGCATAAGTGAGGTTGAATACATGTATTCCGAAGACGAAAGGTAAATGGACCCTGAGCGTGGCCCAAAAGTCAGCCCACGTGTACAGGGGCCAGACAAATTCCAAAGTGACCGTTAAACGTCAGATAGTCACATAAACGAAGCATTACACTGTCTCTCTCTTCTTTTGAGCGACGTCCTTGGCGCTCGCCTTAGTACAACTCCCGCACCAGCCATCACAATTATTAGGTACTATATGAAAGCACCCACGAGCCAACCGTGCCAGTCGACAGATAGCATGATACCGAGGAACCGTACCTAGTCTCCGCGACCGCTTCAAATGGATTTGGAGTTACGTTCGGTCTGACAACCAGATTCGGGGCCGCGTACACCTGTTGACCATCAATTGCTTCCTGGACCGGACGGTGGAACTCTGGCCTAAAACATATATGTTACAGGGAAAACAGGATGAGAATCGTGTCATTAACAACAGCTAAGCACGGATTTTGTATGGAAACTTTCGACGCGAAACTTCTCCAGATAGTTCACGGCGGCGTCGCTTCAGTTGTTAATATCTTGTCTGTGGAACACGGGAATAAAGTGAAACCAATTACAAGCGTCAGTCTAAATCCCTTCGTTGTAAAGGATTCAGGGATTCTCCGTCACTGAGGTAAATGCGCCCCCTTCAAATCACGTCCTCTTTTCGCCTGTATCTTCATCTACTGTACTTCAATAGAGTCAGACTTCTATGAGCATGTATAGCTCATGACTGCCGGTGAACAACGCCAAAATGCGCTTATTAATCTTGGATTACTCCATTAAAAAGTAGAATTCCTTTGCAGTCTTGTCTGATGGTTGCGCTATAACCTTCCGACCAAGGGAACCCGATTTTGGGGTATCTGTATGTATTGAACCAGTGCATCATCCGATCGAAACATTACTTGACGGCTTGTTCGTACTGTTCTTTTCCGGAAATCAGTCGATTAATTGGCAAAGTTTAACAACACAAACGTAGAATGCCAGTAAGACAGCGGTGTCTTTTGGACGACAGATTTTCCCGCACAATATGTCGCTTTCAAAAGCACCTTACACCTAAAAGTCGTTAAAGAAATGCCATCAGTGTAGCGTCCCGAGGCTTCCCATAGGGTAGAAGAAGGCATAAATGAGGTTAAATATATGTATTCCGAAGACGAAAGGGCAAATGGACCCTGAGCGTGGCCCGAAGATCAGCCCATGAGTGCAGGGGCCAGACAAATTCCAAAGTCAGATAGTCACATAAACGAAGCATTACACCTACTACTTCTTCTGGTCGATGAGAAGTCTCGGAACGATACAGTAATCATTTCTAGCGATAGAACTTTTTCCCTAACCCTCAAAGCCATCTTTTGTATGTTTACCTACTGAACTGCCAAGGCAACAAGCGAAGTTGTGTTCTCATTTTTTTCAGTTAATGTTGTAGCGTCTCGAAGCTTTCCGCTAGGCAAGAGGAGGCGAAAGGAGATTGACCCGAAGGTCAGTCCAAGCTTACAAGGGCCAAACGAATACCAAAGCAGCCTCTAGACATCAGGTGGTCACATAAACAAGGTATTAAAAATGTCGATGATTCTGGCTCGCTATAACACTTTTAAGAAAAAACTGCTTTTGGCGTTTATATACCAGCCGCGCTTCTTACGCAGTATGCAAATCTTTTTATATTACTGAATTATTGCTTCTCATTTACAGTGATTAGTTCCACTGAGAACTTTTTCGATGTCTGATGCGTAACATATAACTTTCTGAGACTTAATATGGTAGTATAATGTATAAGACTTGACATTAGTACTTGTGTTGGGGCAGAAAGGTAGATGTAG